AGCGAAGCTATTGAAAGGAAGAATTCTTCGGTCGAATATGAGATTTTTGGGGTCTGCAGAAGTTACATAACATCGTGGGAATGATCTTCGACCATCCACGGGGATTGTGCTGAAGAATTTCGGGAAATCTATGGTGCGAATTCTATATGTCAGTAACTTAAGTACACACAATCGACATGTTGATCAAATACAATTCCAGGAACCAAATGAGTCTGTTCCCATTTCGGTTGTTAATTTTAATACTAATGAGCACATTCTAGATAATACAGAGTCCTTGTCCAGTACACTTTTCGACAGACACATGATGAACTTGAGAAGAAGACGTACAATTGATTACAGACACCTAGACTCCAATTTAAGCTGTGGCAGACGTGGTTTTTGAATGAGCTGATGATTCCTTTGCTTGATTTCGAATTCCAAATTTGGTACATTCGTTTGTGCTTATCTAGTACTTCTTGATCCAACTGCGTTATTTCTGGGATTCTTAGTTCGTGCTACAATTTAAATACTCCTTATCATCATAATCCACCATAAGACTCTTAACCGACCAACCTCGTGGAAATGCGAAAATCATCAATTTGAACAACAACGCAAATAAAACATACTCCATATATAAGAAATTTATCACAAAACCAACTAAGCTCTCACACCAGGACAGCAAAGCACATATTAGTATGGCAGTGGACACATCCAACTCTGTAATCAGAGGAAGCTTACAATAATTTTTAATCAACGGATGGCAACCTTTACCATTCTTCTCGAGATGGTTGCAAGACACTGGATCGAGATATAGCACATTTGTTAGGGAACTACCGGAGTGTATTGTGTTATACAGAATTTTCAACACTGTGAAAAGCCGAGATATGCATATTCAGTGATTTTCGTAACGACAAAATGAAGAACAGTTTCCTATTTGTCACGCTTTACATATTACCACATTTAAGTTCATTGTCTATTGCTTCTCTGTATCAATAGTAAAGAAAAGTACATAATAGTATGGGTACATATGTAGAATTATGGTCTACTGTAATATTAGTACTGCTCTAATAATAGACCTAATCCTTAAATGGTAGATTTGTCATGATGTAACTGCCTAATATATAAGATCTTACGTGGGTGTCACATCATTATCTACACTGACTCATCGTATCATACCAATCACCAATACACGATGGAGTACAAGCTTAGGCTACAGATAGAACATTATATTTAATATGAATAAAAGATATAAGATAACATTCAAGAGGGACCACGCCTGCAAGACCGAGCCATGTCACCCGATCAACTCGAACTAATCCAATTCATTCTTCCCGCCCTCTTCGTCGTTGGGTTTTTCTCCGTGTTAAATGTTGAATGTCTATTCCCCATAATGTCTCGTGTTAGGGCTCAATGCCACTACATATATACACGCATTGCCACGGTTGCTGAATAATAAACGCTATCTCCGCTGTCTGTCCTTCTGCTTTATTGTCCACGGCATTTAGTTGAAGATTATAATATAGCATCCTTTTAGGCTTTCCGACACTATGTTGAAGATTTGTTCTGGATTATTATTAAATAGTACTATCGGATTTAATCTTTCTCATTATGCCATCGGTGCCACCATATATAGAGAAACCTTTGTTATTTAAGTGAACTCTTTTGTAATTGTCATCTCAGAGAGCAACTTACAAGTGACATACATTTCATAAAAACTGTTATCATATTGTTATGTAATATACGATTTATATTGTAACTGTAACTTCTTACCTTCTGCTTTACTCATAAACAGGCGCTTGGGTTCGTAGTGATAAGTGTTGTATTATTGGTACCTATGCGTATTGTTATATATTGAATAAGCTTTCTTGCTGAGATCCACCGAAAATCCACTCTTTGTAACAACTACAAACCTCTCACATTTTCTCCAAGCTCGTCCTTAGACAAATACTCCTCACGAGCGTCACGACAACTAAACTACATCCCGCAGTTTACTCCAGATATACAATATATTTCTGGGGTATACAATTTATTGGCAAAGTCCCTGTCTCGTATAATTTTCTTGAACAGTTTCCGAAGAATCGACTTCCTTAAACTCGCTCAGATTCAAACGGAAGACACCGAGTTTCAACATAAGTTGTCCTCAATAACCCTGAAACTACAGATCCAACAGATAAAAACATGTGGAGAAACTGTATTACGTGAGAAATCTACAGGTAGGGATCATCTAGTCATGCTGAAACATCATGAACACAACATCTTTAATACATTGCACGAATTCTCCAATCTAGGTGTCCGAGCGACTATAAGGCTCATAGATGGATGTCTTTGGTGGCATGATATGAATAAAGTTGTCCGGTAGTAGACACACGTCTGTTTAAGCTGACAAAAATCTGATGTAATCAGTTCCTTAGGATCTTTTGCAACTGCCGACCCTCATTTCGACCATGTTGTTTTTGATTCGGTAGGACTTTAACCAGAATCCATTAGATAGTCTTACCTCTTAACATGTAAAGACCATTTCACACAGTTGTAAGAAGCAGCACCCATTGAAGACACCATTACTGAAACAGTGATTCGCACCTTCGTCGAACGGTAGGTAGCAATATTTGACTGCCCCTCGTCTGCGACTACAGATCGTGGACGCCAGTTCGAATCTGGACTTTTCCGTTGTCTTACCACATTATCAGAAATCACAGGATTCCGAACGACCACCTACAATACACACGAAAATGGGTTAGTATTGCAATCTCACAGACAGTTGAGAACTTCACTTTCATCTGCAAACGAATCATGACAGAATCGCAATACTCGGTATTCATGATGCACAGATGGCTGACGTTTGGCATACAGCAGTGCGACTCATCTACGTAGTGAAATTTAGACATACAGGAGACTTCGCGAACCCTTCGTTTTCCTTAACGAATGCAGGTTTAAATATCTACAGGGGTGGACTTTTGAATGCTAAGTGTTAAGTCAAACTTGTCTACAGTTCCCCGCAATCAAATACTATCTTCGTTCGAACCCCCCTTCTTGTACGTTGAGATTCATTACCCCAACTACTGAAAACTGCGTTCGAAAGAACACTTCGAAGTCCGTCACTGCAGACGTAAGTACTGTATCGTAGGTAAAAACAATACTAACGATAATCCCAGAATGGGAAGTCTTAAGGGTACTTACTTAGAAAAGAACTACGGTGCTTGTATGAACTAACGATTATTTGTACTTGTTGAATGCTTGATTTCGAATTCTAAATACAATATATTCGTTCGTGCTTATCTAGTACTTCTTGATCTAAATGAGTTATCTCTGGGATTCCTAGTTTGAACTATAATTCAAATACACCTAATTATCGCTGAAACTCAATCTATGTTGCCTTTTCGCCAAACAATCGGATATCCCATTCCTCAAGGCACAGATGCAATCCCCGATGATTAATAACCAGAAGAAATTTAGGATGTTATCCGAATAACGCTTTTCAGGTGCGATTAAGTTTCCAGAACACTAGAATGAGTACTGTATAGAAGAGGTTTTAGAAGTTTTTGTTTATTTTTATTTTTCCGTTCTGTAGCCACTTGTTTGCATTTTCTGTTTTTATTATTGCATCAGATAGAAAACAGATGAAAATACTTTTTTTCTTAATATGCTTATACATGTGTATAATTGCTCTTGTATAAAAGATTATTGAAATCATATTTCTGAGACAACTTACCGGTAGTCGCATGGTATTTATACTCATATATGCCCGGGTTTTGCTTTTTTTTCCTTCTTTTTGCAAGTGCGGGTTTTTTCTACCTGCACTCAAATTTTTATCTTTTTCTTTTCCTGGACGACTAGAAAGGATTAAATGCCGATGACGAATCGAAACTGCATGGCACTTCATAGCAAAGTAATTCAACAGGATGCGGCTGGACATAGCAAGCTATCATTATAGTGTTTGCTTATGAATTTTGAACACCTGGCTTGCCATATCCTAGGGTAATCATTACCACATTTAGAGAGTGGGCCGTAGTGCTAAGTAAATCCTGAAAAATGGCTTTGCAGGCCTTTAACAGTGACACTGACCTCATTAGTTTTGTGGTGGCATTGGACCCTAACCACACAATCCTCAAAAATGGAGAAAAAACCAACGATGAGGAAGGTGGGAACAATGGATTGGATTAAACCGAGTTGATCGGATGGCATGGCTCCACCTTGCAGTCGTGGTGCCTGTCGAATGTTACCTTATATCTTTTACTCACATTAAATAAATTGTTATTTCTTCAGTCTGAATGTGTTCTTCATCACATTTTGGTAATTGTTATGGTACGATGAGTCGGTGTATATAATGATGTGGCACCCACGTAAGATCTTATGTATTAGACAGTTACATCATGATAAATCTACCATTTAAGGATTAGGTTTATTATTAGAGCAGTATTAATATCGTAGTAGACCGAAGTTCTACAGTATCACTGGACACACCTGGCTGAAGGTGCTCAGTCACGCGTCCTCTCGATATCAGGAGTGAATAGGCGTGCTACGTATCACAAAACAATTATCCAGTTTGATCAAACGCTCATGGGCATATAAGCGTTTTCGAAATTCACCCGTCAACGCCTTCACTTCTGATTGATGTTTTGACTGGACCGAGGCCGTTTGTCCATATAGGTGTCACGGATAAAAGCGTTGTCAAATCGTGAGTATCTGTGGCGTCTTTAAGTTCATTACTTATATAATCAACAAAGGTAGGTATAAAGAATATGATAATCGGTACCAACGTGCTTTGTTCTTAGCAAGTGGATAGCAAGATAAATTAATACCACTACATTTTGAATGATTTCCAAGCTCATATTTTTATAAAATTCCTCAACGGACGACAGTTGTTCAAGACACTCAGACTTGTTTAATGTTCACATAAGTAGAAAATATACAATGACAGGATTTTCGTCCTCTTAAAACACGAAAAAAACCATTCTAGTGTGTTAATAAGTAATGAAACTTTCGGGTGACTAACAAATTGACCATTGAAACTTACTTTTCAACTCATATTTCTACCATCAGGGTCACGGTTTATACAGTCATTTTGATGAATACAGAGTATGCATAGTTCCTTTGGACTTCACCTAGTTTTAAACCTCCCAGATGCTTTTCACTAAAGTGCCCTAATCTGTGTTAACGTATTTTTCGCCTTTATTTTTAAACAACCACGACATCCTAGACAACGCAAAAAGGCGAAATAAAGACGAAGAAAGGGGAAATAAAGGGGTAAATGCTTTGATGGCGAAAAAGGAAAACGCGCCAGAATGTCGCCTTTTTCGCCTGTCCGGGGGAAATAATCCGGATTTTCCCCCTTTTTCGCCGTTTTGTCGACAAATTACCGACTTATCGCCTAAATATCCGCCGAATTGTTGCATTTTCGCCTAAATATCCGCCGAATTGTCGCATTTCCGCCTAAATAACCGCTGAATTTTCGCATTTTCACCTAAATATCCGCCGAATCGCCTACTTTTCGCCCAAATACACACATAACCCCCTATTTTCCATCCGTTGACAGAACTCCAAAGGTCTCCTATGTTCGTCTTTATTTCCAACAACAGACCAAAATATTTCTGCAATGCAGTGGAAAAGCGGTACATTTTCGAAAATTTTTATTTAAAAGGAAAAGCGTATTATTGTACAACACTAGAGCCGAAGCTTAAGCATCGATTGTTTTGCATATCCAATGCAATTGCTAATTCATTTTTATTTGAAATTATCTGCGAAAGAAGGAACAGGTGATGTTTTATTTATAAGGAATGTGCATTTAACCAAAAGTTAACTGACACTCAAACACACATTCTCAACACTTCAACAGTTTCCCATGTAAGTAAAAGAGTAAGCTGTTTGAAAAAAATAATGTTTATTGAAATCTAGGTAAAACATCAAAGCAATTGCACGGACTATTCCCTTAAGCCACGTTCGTTCGGCTATTGAGAATTGAGGTAGTCGTCCTGTGAATTCTGATTTTTAAAAAAAGTCACAGCCATATCTCAATGACATGCTTTGGCACAGCCAAATACTTGAAGCTGAACTTACGGTTATGTTCGTTAGTATTGTTGACTGTAACTATAGAGCCGTAGGGAGGTTAGTACATACTTGGTCTTGTTTTCTTCTATTACGCTTTATCATCATGTCTCGGATATCGTGAAAGTAACCTTGTGTCGCGATGTCATAGAGCCTACCAAGGTCTTATTCGTTGACAGAGGATGACAGAAAGCGATGAGTTAAGGCACCTGAAGTTTAAGTAATAGATATAGGTTACTTCGTATGCAGCCGTAAAACGTGCATTTCTGTAGTGCTCGTTTTGAAGAGGTGCCAAGTAACGTGGCAGGTTGCGATAGGTGTACTGTTCTTGGGAGACGGCTGGAGGGTAAGACGAATTTTCCAAATGGGGTATATACTTTAAGAACAGACGACACCTTCCGCCGTCAGACTCAATCTATTCGCCATCAAGGACATTCTATAATGGAAACGCTTTCTATTAATATGATTATAACTTTTCCTCTAGATCCTATGCACATGGTGTTACCAAGAAACTAGCCATTTATGGATTGATTTAGCACGCCGAAGACTGCGGAACTTTAACTCATGTGCAATTCGGGACCTCAATAATTTAATATCTGGTTGTGTGGCAAGTACTTCTTCTGACTTTCCCCGTAAATGCTGTACACTAGACTTTGTATCGGCATGGAAAGCTTCTGAATGTAGGTTGTTGCTTCTGTATTTAGGCCCGGTGATTCTTGAAAAAACATTGCCACAACCTTTTTATCTTAATTTCCGGCGTTTAGCGTTATCCATGTATCTGCTTTCACATCCAAAATTACATAAAAGTGTTGTAGAAACCGCCAAAATAGATTTACTAAACTTCCTGAATGAATACGAATGGTGTTATGGGTGTGAAAACTTAGTTTACAATGTGCATTCGTTACAGCACCTCCCTGACGACGTTCGTGTACATGGACCTTTAGACAGTTTTTCAGCCTTTCCATTCGAGTCTTATATGAGACAAGTTAAGGATTCCGTGCGTAGTGGTGTCGTCTGTTCTTAAAGTATATACCCCATTTGGAAAATTCGTCTTACCCTCCAGCCGTCTCCCAAGAACAGTACACCTATCGCAACCTGCCACGTTACTTGGCACCTCTTCAAAACGAGCACTACAGAAATGCACGTTTTACGGCTGCATACGAAGTAACCTATATCTATTACTTAAACTTCAGGTGCCTTAACTCATCGCTTTCTGTCATCCTCTGTCAACGAATAAGACCTTGGTAAGCTCTATGACATCGCGACACAAGGTTACTTTCACGATATCCGAGACATGATGATAAAGCGTAATAGAAGAAAACAAGACCAAGTATGTACTAACCTCCCTACGGCTCTATAGTTACAGTCAACAATACTAACGAACATAACCGTAAGTTCAGCTTCAAGTATTTGGCTGTGCCAAAGCATGTCATTGAGATATGGCTGTGACTTTTTTTAAAAATCAGAATTCACAGGACGACTACCTCAATTCTCAATAGCCGAACGAACGTGGCTTAAGGGAATAGTCCGTGCAATTGCTTTGATGTTTTACCTAGATTTCAATAAACATTATTTTTTTCAAACAGCTTACTCTTTTACTTACATGGGAAACTGTTGAAGTGTTGAGAATGTGTGTTTGAGTGTCAGTTAACTTTTGGTTAAATGCACATTCCTTATAAATAAAACATCACCTGTTCCTTCTTTCGCAGATAATTTCAAATAAAAATGAATTAGCAATTGCATTGGATATGCAAAACAATCGATGCTTAAGCTTCGGCTCTAGTGTTGTACAATAATACGCTTTTCCTTTTAAATAAAAATTTTCGAAAATGTACCGCTTTTCCACTGCATTGCAGAAATATTTTGGTCTGTTGTTGGAAATAAAGACGAACATAGGAGACCTTTGGAGTTCTGTCAACGGATGGAAAATAGGGGGTTATGTGTGTATTTGGGCGAAAAGTAGGCGATTCGGCGGATATTTAGGTGAAAATGCGAAAATTCAGCGGTTATTTAGGCGGAAATGCGACAATTCGGCGGATATTTAGGCGAAAATGCAACAATTCGGCGGATATTTAGGCGAAAATGCAACAATTCGGCGGATATTTAGGCGATAAGTCGGTAATTTGTCGACAAAACGGCGAAAAAGGGGGAAAATCCGGATTATTTCCCCCGGACAGGCGAAAAAGGCGACATTCTGGCGCGTTTTCCTTTTTCGCCATCAAAGCATTTACCCCTTTATTTCCCCTTTCTTCGTCTTTATTTCCCCTTTTTGGGTTGTCTGGGTAGTCATCGCTAATTTTAATCCTTATAAGAATTAAAATGAGTCTTTGCTGGGTACAGTAATAATAACTGTTGTACTACTCTATGAATGTAAGTACAACAATGCCTCGACTAGGTCGATTCGTGCTTTATAATACGAGTGAAATATTCCATTAATTTGTTTTAAATGTATTTACAATAGATTTATCACATCTTTTGAAGTCAGCGACATCATTTAAGTATAGTGGCTCAAGGATCTAATACATACTGTTGTATGAAATCAACCTTTTTTATTAAGAGCGGATATCACTTGAATTATGTGGATACTTTTACTGTATCACTTCTAGTGGGCAATTTTTTAATGCATTACTACTAGTGAATCGTCATTATATTGCGTTTTGTTTTCAGCATTCTATCTCCAGCCACTTTTTATGATCTCCCTGATGAATTAATCCTTCGAGTTTTTACTTATTTACCACAAATTGACCTGATAAAATGTATTTCAAGGTAAGTTTTACATTCCAACGTATTTTCAGAGTTAACAAAAAGTTACACGTATTATCTCGAAGTTCATACTTGTGGAAACACTTAGACTTCCGCAATTTTGAGGTAGAACCGAAAGATTTGCGTCATTTTTCAAAACAGAAACTGGTTGGACGACAAACTTGTAGCGTTAAAATTGAGTGTAGGTATCTTTTTTGTCATGACTGAATTGCCCCAAAGTTAATCCGAGATCCAAAAACATTGAAGCAGGATTGGCACCAGTGTTTAAAATTTGTGGTGTTTTGACTCATATATTGATTCGGGGTGGAAGTATTCATAACTTTCAAAATTTTATCAGATTATTTTCTGATTATCTTGAAAAACTTGAATTAATTGAGACTGTTGCTAAAAACAGGTGAGTTGATTTGTTTAGTATTTTTATCATGAGTAATGTAATCTTCAAATTATTGGTTACACAAAGTGTTCTTGGATTTCTGTAGATTTTTATTTATTTGACTAACATTCAGCTATCAAGAAGAATATATGTCTAGTTTGTAACACATGCTCGTACAGAAATGGTAATAATAAAAGATATTGACAAATTGTCACTGTTCTAATGACACTATCTGTTAAATAAATTAAGTGAAGGGCTTGACGAAATTAAACGCCTACAGACTCAATTGTAAGTGAAGTGCCATAATAACTCCCCCATGCAAACAAAGATGCAATAGTGTCTGTGTTCGCAAGAAAATGTTAAATCAGACATTATAACTATGATACAGAGAATATCAAAGTATACAAATTAACATGTGAGTCCCGTGGATCCCGTTACTCAGTTGTTCTGGTATGTATACCCATCGTTGACGTTGCTTCAGAAGCGCTATTTTTAAACCACTTCTTTAGACTTTGCGCATGTATGGTTATATCAGTCAGGAAACTTACTTAAAGTGGAAAAATCATCCGGGTAGAAATAGAATAGTTCCATAAACCAATTCCGCTGGACAACATCCGATATCTCATTTAATTTTTGCTCTTAAGCCCAAGATGACTAGAGGAAGCTTACTGGTCCGGTTATTGTTGTCAATCACAGCCGTAAGAGAGGCTCTTAGCTAAATGTGTAGCCGTTCTATCATACCATTACCTATCGGATGGTAGAATGCCGTGCGGACATGTTTAATGTCAAGAAGTTCTGTGAGCTGCTGGGGAAGGCGATATCCCAATAATATTTGCTGACACTCCGTTGAGAAGTCCAACTCTCAATTAGCGTTCAGGCTACCGTCTTGGGTGATGTGTCCTTTATCAACACCGCTACAGGTCATCGTGTGAACCTATCGATGCGGGAAAAAGTATGGTTAGAACCATTTGTAACCAGCATTGGTCCCACAATGTTGATGTGTATGTGTTTGAATCTAGAAAGAACCTACTGCGAAACTAGTATGATGATGAATTCTGACTTTTCGATATTTCACGCATGCTTGTATCCAATTACTAACATCCCGGTTCGTGCTTGACTATGCAAAACGCTAGCTGATCAGCTTGATCTTTGCTTTTATGTAGAACAACTCAAAAAGACTAAACTGAGTTGTCTGAACAAAATTTAAAATAAACCATGTGTCATGGCCATTCAGCAGTAAAATCCTTGTAAGTGAAGTACTCACACCATCGAATCAGTCTGATAGTTACCGATCTGTTATAATTAGCATTTTAAACTGATCTCCATCTATACTCACCTTATTTTTTGCCGTGTAATTAAGTATGTAAAACTAAATCTAGGATATTACCCCAGAGACACCAAATTTATATCTGAAAACAAACCTGGGTGCTACTTTTATAGTGAATAATTTCGGAGTTGTTCTGTTTTTAGGTTAGTTGGTCCTGAATCTCTGCCCAGTGTTCCAAGATTTTCGTTAAAGTATCTCAAGTTATCTGATAGTAGCTGGCTATATGACGTACACTTATCGGCACTGATTGGTTTAAATGCTTCAAAAACTCTGAAATATCTAAATGTATCGAAGTGTTATCGTTTATTTCTTGGTCCTCCAGCATCCTGTCCACTGAACGTGCGTTTTGAAAAGATGTCAGCCTTTCTTAAGCAGACTTGTCCGCACCTCGAAGAGTTGAACTTATCTTCAGTTTTTATGTCACATAACATCCAAGTGCCTGTAACAACAGCATTGTTAAGTATGATACCTGATACTCTTCCTTACCTTCATACTTTGAATCTGTCAGAAAATCCAATGATTACTTCGTCTCTTTTAAATCAGTTATACGAAAGTCAAAATCTAAGCTCAGCACTTCAAAGCTTCATTACCTCGTTTTTTAATAAAATTCATAAATATAAAGTTTTTTTGTATATATATGACTGGCCACATAAATTAACTATGAGTTTATTTTCTGCATGTGCTCTTACTGTACCTGATGGCAGTACAGTATATTTGTATGTTAATGATGCTCCTGAATGTATAGAAGAAAATTCGAAATGTAAACTTATATCTTCAGTAACAAATGACATTTGTTTTGGCTAAACGATCTTTGTATATATTCTGTTCATATGATTTATATAGATATATATGGTCGATATTTGTGCAGTTTCACTATCTAACTATTCTTTATTTGCTCTGCACAAGTGAACTCATTTAACAGTAGATGGTGACACAAAGTTATAACTCTATAAATAACCTTGCATGTAACGACGATGCCGTTCAATTCCACAATATTTAGTACTGTAGTGAACGAGAACACCAGTGGGTACAACCGAGTGTATTCGGACACGAAATTACAGTCTCGTAGTGAAATCTGACATAACACTTACCTCATCTAAATTTCCAAGGGTTGAACTTTTACCAGGAGATTCACTTATTGACTTAGAATATGCTGATGACATAGTTTTATTTGGTGAAGAAGCTGACAAAATGCAGAGTCTTCTGATCACCGCAAGCAACAATGCAAACATGTTCGGGATGCGATCCTCCCGCTCGAAATGCATAATGTTGCTTCAGGATTCAGTTGCATCGACACCTGAAGGAGTGAAGTAGTTGAGCGTGTCGACCACCCTACTTATCTTGAAAGTCTCATCAGCCCTTGTGGTCTGGTGTGTGACGAAATCTCAGCACGGATACAGAAGGCTCGACTAGCTTTTGCCAACTTGCGTCATTTATAGCGTAGGTGAGATATCTCTCTACCAACAAAAGAACGGGTTTACTGCGCAGTAGTTTGTTCAGTCCCACTTTATGGCTGTGAAACATGACCGGTAAGAGTAGAGGATATTCGTAGGTTACTAGTATTTGATCATAGGTGTCTTCGAAACATTGCTCGTGTATCCTGGGACCACCAAGTAAGTAATGCAGTTGTTAGGAAACGGGCACTAGGTAAGGATGGCAAATCCATTGATGAAGTAGTGAAGCTTCATCAGTTGAGATGCCTGGGACATGTGTTACGTATGCCCAACCAACGACTGCCCCGACGTGCGATGTTTTCTGGTGTAGAAGTGGGTTGGAAGAAAGCTAAGGGCGACCAGACCAAAACATGGCACTAATCCATGAAGTCACTGACAAGTAGACTGAGCCATGTTGGTAGGTGTGGACTACCTGGTTGAAATCCGCGAAATGATAACAACCGATGGTTAGAGACCTTGAATGACATGGTTCGAAATCGTTTGTAATGGCGCAAGCGCATCCACTCTTTGCGTTCTCCCAAATTCTAATCTGAATTCTTCATGTCCCTTTTTTATAAATTTATTTCACTGGATTATACTACTTGAATAACATCTTCAAACCCTAATGTTTCTGATTACTGTTTATACTTTTACTACCTCTATCACTACGGGATTTGAATCGACAATTGTATCTCTGTGCTAATATGGTATGGCAACTCGAACTGATGTACGTACGTACGAAGTTCTACGTCGTTGACTAACTGACTGAGTAATCGGAAATGGGCCAATGATTAGAAAAGCATAGACACTAATAACATTCTTAATAAGAGGTTTCCAGATAATTGGACCGTGAAACGTATATCTGAGAAAAAAATCTTTGTGTTCATAAGAAACTTGTCACACCCTCATCTCTCCCTTGGCCTTAATAAATGAGTTTATTTATTATTATTTTCCATACTCTCCGCTTATTTTTCTTCACACCCTGTATATTAGAGTAAAGCCTGATGAGAATCTAATCGAAAACAATATTGTTTGCTTATATATGTTGTTCTAAATTACAATGGTGATTGTTCATTGTGTAGTATGAAATTAATAGACAGTAGTCTACCCACTTTACACTTCAGGAAGATACAGAAAGTTTGTAGCTAAGGTGAAAAATTTCAGTAGTACCGTATTCAGTTAGGCACCTCGGTACTTATGTTTTTATTTTCATTCTGAGTAACAACACGCGCACACTTCTATGCACAGTCCCGTTTCATAGATTTTTAATCTGCTAACTAACCTTGGTTACGTCATAGTAGGATATGTGGGTAGACAGCTTTTTAGGACCCTTCAAAATATCTTCCAGTTAAGATTATTAATTGGTTATCTCGAAAGCCTATGTTTTTAACGTTTAAGATAAGATATTTCAGACATTCTTGCCCCTAGTCTATATAAAACTTCGGATTTTTGTCACTTTAGCTGATCGGTTACCAAACCTTCATATTCAAACGTCTCCTTCACTATCGCCGAAATATTCTCAACAAAAAGCTTGAGTTATTTATTCACGTTGTTAAGGAATGGAACAATATATCAATATTTCATTACACAAGTTATATCCTACACTGGTTAATTAGGTAAGAAGTTCAAACAATTCAAACCAAACATACTTTGTATCTGCACAGTGCATCTACAACACTACTTATGGCTGTCAGTATTAGCCTTAAAATCCTCGTAAACAGAGATGTTACCTTTAAAACACCAAAAAGGTGTATCTCATGAAAAGGTACATACTCTACATCTGGTAAACTTGCACCAGACTAACTCGATGACCAGCCGTCTGAATGTCAGTAATATAATATAGATAGGTTTTAAATCCTACTCAGAAGACAGCTACAATGTTCACTTCTGTATATTAAATTGCCATTTTTAAATAAGTATAATCACCATTTTGTTCATTACCATATATTTAGTACAGTATGGAATTCTCAGCATAAATTTCTCCTATTCTTCATATATACCACAAAAGTACACTTACATAAAATGGATTTGTTAAATTGAATGAAATTTTTGAAAAGAGTAAGTTGTTTAATAGTACCTCAGAAATCAACGTAATTAATTGGAGTGATCTCGGATTCCGCACTGGTTTAAAAATATCTTCTGCTTAAGTTGTCTGGTAATTAGTGGGTTATTAGAATAACGTGATTAAACTTACTTTTTATTGAGATGAAACAAACTAGTATTGTACACTCTATTCATATGACAGCTGAATACAACACTAAGTTTAAACAGTGGAACTCTTTAGTGTTGCTCGAAAGTCGACAGAACATGTCTTCGGTCATGACCACTGTGTCGTAGATCCATCTTTTCAGCAAAAACAATGTAATTAATAAGTTCGCTAGAGGCGTAACTGAAATTTTTTTGTACTTTAAGGGTTAATGAATCCTTAGTATTCCTTATCACATAATTGTAAACCCAAGCCTACACATTCAGTGTACATATCACCTTTCACTTATTTTTGTATGGTGTATAATTTTTTGTCGTGCATCTGTCCTCACTTAATTTTTGCGATTTTTTGTTTTATGTAAATATTCATGAACATGTTTTTTCCAACTAGTACTTTTTATTTAATTTACGGTTGAATCCAGGTTATAATCACATGCTTGTCTCATTGGTTTTACTATATCTCCGCTCACATATTAGTGTGAAACTGTGTTATAAGTAGGTTTGTTTATTCATAATCACTTATTCGGATTTGGGAATTCATAAACTGGTAGGTTTGCTAAGAAGAATAGTATGTGTTCGATAAAGAAGTATGTACTTTCACTGAAGAAATTTTCATCCTGGCTAGTTCTATCTAATATACATTCGTTGAGAAATTAGTTACCCTCACGTCATATAGAAAGTATACATTTTTTTAAAATTTTCTCTACAATGGTATCAACTTTCACGTTGTTTGAATTGAAATTACTTATAAGTGGTCAATCAACTAATCGTATGCGGTCGACTTAATAATAGTTAAGAAATAAAAATATTACGACTAGACAACATTGGAACACATGGTTACGTGTGTAATATATCAGTCAGTCAGTCAGTAACAACGTAGAACTTCGTACGTACGTACATCAGTTCGAGTTGCCACACCACATTAGCACAGAGATGCAGTGGTCGATTCAAATCCCGTAGTGGTAAAGGTAGCAAGAGTATAAGCAGTAATCGGGAAGATTAGGGTTTGGAGATGTTATTTAAAGAGTATAATCCGGTGAAAGAAATTTGGGAAGACGGAAAAAGGGACATGAAGAATTCAGAAGATTAGAATTTGGGAGAACACAGAGAGTGGATGCACCTGCGCCATTGCAAACGATTTTGAGCCATGTCATTCAGGGTCTCTAACCATCGGTTGCTGTCATCTCGCGGTCCCCAACCAGGTAGTCTACACCTACCAACATGACTCAGTTCACTTGTCAGTGACTTCATGTACTTGTGCCATGTTTTGGTCTGGCCGCCCCTAGCTTTCTTCCAACCTACTCCTATACCACTGAACATAGCACGTCGAGGCAGTCGGTCGTTGGGCATACGTAACACGTGTCCCAGCCATCTCAACTGATGAAGTTTCACTACTTCATCAATTGATTTGCCATCCTTACCTAGTACCCGTTTCCTGACAACTGTGTTACTTACTCGATGGTCCCAGGATATACGAGCAATGTTTCGAAGACACCTATGATCGAATACTAGTAACCTACGGATATCCTCTACTCTTACCGGCCATGTTTCACTGCCATAAAGTAGGACGGAACGAACTGCTGCGCAGTAAACACGTCCTTTGGTTGATAGACGGATATCTCGCCTACGCCATAAATGACGCAAGTTGGCAAAAGCTAGTCGAGCCTTCTGTATCCGTGCTGAGATTTCGTCACAAACCAAATCACAAGGGCTGATGAGACTTCCAAGATAAGTAAAGCGGTCGACACACTCAACTACTTCACTCCCTATCACTAGTTCGGGTGTCGATGTAACCCAATCCTGAAGCAACATTTTACATTTCGAGGGAGAGAATCGCATCCCGAACATGCTTGCATTGTTGCTTAGAGTGGTCAGAAGACTCTGCATTTTGTCAGCGTCTTCACCAAATAAAACTATGTCATCTGCATATTCTAAGTCAACAAGTGAACCTCCCGGTAGAAGTTCAACCCCTGGAAATTTAGATGAGGAGAGTGTTATCTCTAAAAGTACGTCGACCACAAAGTTGAACAAGAATGGAGAGAGTGGACAGCCCTGACGAACACCACTTGAGGTGATCAATTCTGATGACAGTTCGCCATAAGCTCTCACTCTACCAGTTGTGTTCGAGTAGAGAGCCTTTATAAGGTTAATGTACTTCTTTGGTACTCCTTTCAGTGACAAACACTGCCATAGAACCTCACGATCAACGGAGTCGAATGCCGCCTTAAGGTCGAGAAATACTACCATTGTGGGGCGTCTGAATGTGTGTCTCTGTTCTAGAACCTGACGTAGTGTGAATATCTGATCTATACAACCACGTCCAGGTCGAAAACCGGCCTGGTTTTCTCTAGTCTGTTCTTCACGAGCTTTAGTTAGGCGTCGAAGTATTATTGAGGCCAATATTTTAGACACTATATTAGTCAAACTGATTCCTCTGTGATTGTCACAAGAGGACTTTTGTCCTTTCTTAAAAACTGGCACAATCAGTGATTGAGACCAGTCAGATGGGATTACGTCCAGTTCCCAAATTCTACCTAAGACCTCAGTTAATCTTGCTGCTAATACTGGACCACCATCCTTAAAAATCTCAGGAGTAAACATGTCAGGGCCTGCTGCTCTCCCTCGTTTCAGATTTCTTATGGCTTTTTCAACTTCGTAAAGGGACGGAGGACTTACATTAACTTGCCATTCAGGTTGACTGGAGATCGTGGGAAACCGAAGTGTGGCTGAAGGCCAGTTGAACTGATCCCTAAAGTGTTCTGCCCATCGATCCAATCTCCTGGATTGAGAATGAATAATATGTCCATCTTTCTCTGAGATTGTTTCGCTAAAGGTCGGTTTCCTAATTCCGGTTTCCTTAACGAGTCTAAACAATTGTCTGCTATTACCTATTGCCGCTGCCTTTTCCATCTCTCTTGCTTTCGCTACCCACCACTGTTCGCGATCATTGCGTAGACTTCTTGTCAGCTTGCGCTTAAGCTCACTCCGCTCTTCATTATGTTCAGAGCCAGGTGGAATGAGTTTTCGAGCATCTATCAGTGCGATAGATGCTGCTGAGATCCAGTGTTGCTCCCTAACTTTACGGTTTACCTTACTAGCAGATATCACTGCTGTTTCCACAGCTTTTCGGATATCGTTCCATGCTGCCTCGGGGTGGGCATCACATACATGGCTGCCTAACTCTTTTCCTAGTTGTTCCTGAAATATACTCTTAGCTTGACTATCATTAAGTAGGGCCCTAAGAGGTTTACTTGCAGGATCTTTCCTACGTCCAGTAAGACGCAAGCAAATACGCGCTCGCACTAGAGCATGATCTGAATCTAGGCATGTGCTCCAGAATGAGCGACAGTCTTCTATCGAGCCCCTCCATCGGTGGCTGATAGCGATGTGATCTATTTGGGTCCAACGTTGGGACGAATTCGGGGGTCGCCATGTTAAAAGATGTTTTTCCTTATGCTTAAAGTTAGTATTTGCAAGGAACAGGCGGTTATCTGAGCATAGCTGCAACAGACGGTCGCCATTATCTGTTCTTTGAGCCACGACACCATAAGATCCACCTAGGTGTCTTTCCCTATCGCTAAGTTTACCTACTTGAGCATTAAAGTCACCGGCCACTATTACTACATCCGAGCGCTTAGCTTTTCGGAGAAGGTCCGAAAGCTTTCTGTAAAACTCATCTTTTACATCATCTGAGCTGCAGTCAGTGGGAGAATAGGCAGAGACGACGAAGAGGCAACGACGAGTGTCCCTATCTTTCCGGATTCTTACTGTTCCGTTCAGTCGGACAGCGCACAAACGACTGTTTACTGGGATCCACTCTAAGAGAGCTAGTTCTGCCCTAGGACTCAATGCTATACCTACGCCGGCGAGGCCACGGGAAGCAGAATCAGGGCTTCCAGATACACGAAGCGTAAATCGAGTCGGTTGTTTATTTTGGCATGGTGAGGTCAAATGAATGACGCTACTCGGATCTTGTATGCGCGTTTCGGAGACGCAGCACACATCGATGGCGCGAGATTCTAAAGTCCTAGCTAAGGAAGCCTGTTGTCCTATTTGGCACAGTGTTCGTACGTTAAAAGCTCCTACGTGTAGTTTAGAGCGTGGTTTCAGGAGCCCAGGAATGGCGTTCCACGTACTCGAATCGTTTGCCCTAGCGGTGCGAGGTGATAAAGAGACGTGAGGAGGGTTAGTCGGGAGGATAAGAGAGGTATTAGGAGGTGTAGGAAGGATTTGAATGTGACCACCTTGGTCTCTTGTGCTGTTACGGGTATGAGGGCTGATGTCACTTCCCGGCTGCCCACACCGTGGAAGGGTATTTCTTGATGAACCTGAAAAGGAAATTGGATTAGTGTTGGTCTTGACGACCTGGGAGCGTGACCGCAGAGCCCAAGGGACAACTGCTTGAGGCCGGTCGCGCACGGCCTTTTTGTGGAAGGTTTTTGACGTGTTAGCTCCGTTCTTCAAAGGGCCTTACCGCCGGAGACGGAAATCCGTGAGGTAAGGTGAGGTGTGCATTTTTAGGGTCGACCTTTTCTAACCCCACCCCTCCTTGTGGGAAGGCAGCATCGCTGTCATGCTGGTTGTCCGAGGGAAACACCTTACTGCTGTCACACCTCTCTACAGTCAGCAGTACGACTTCGCCCTCAGACCTTGAGTTGCTGCTTTTAGTCTTACCGTTCGCCAATCGACCTGCCTGGCATGGTAGAACCTGCAGGAACATATGTTCCAGCCAATATAGCTCGGTTGGGTCATCACGATAGGCAAGCCCGACCACCGCGTCAAGGTAGCAGCTTCGATCGGGGTGTGTAATATATATATAGTTTAATCAGCTTAGTATTGATTAAAAATATAAAATCACTATTGTGATTCAGTAGAAGTAACCATAATCAACAAAGAGGTCCTGATAAAGAGGGATAAAACATGTTTAGATTTTTCAGAAAAAATGAAATCCTAAGAAACGTTGCGTTCAAAGATGGTGTATTTTGTCAATGAGGACAATGATAGTACAAAATAAAGCCCAAATTAAAGCTATTATTATCCAGAAAAAGTTCTGAAATGGTGATGCATGCATAGAAATAGACAATAAATGATGGTTGGAACATTTTCCTATAATTGAAACAGAATGCGGTGTTGTTATGTCATTTGTTGAACCATACATGATATTCTCATTCTCCGTATTATTATTGCTGGAATTTGGTTGTATCATTTGTTCACCAACAGTTGCCGATGTCGTATCATCACTTTGCTGTAGATCTGTTGTTGTTTCAAGATAAGATTCTTTCAGAGGAACACAGTGTGTAAAGTATCGACGTGCTTTAAATACTAACAGCGCTGGTATTATATACTGTATACCTGAACCAAAAATTGCCCCGGTAAAACCAGTTAAATATCCAACATTATTAGTTATTAATGCAATCCCTAATGGTGGCAGTAGTACGACAAATGGTAATGTGTACTTCAAAATGTTTTGAGCTCTATCACTTCCGAATGCAGAGAAGAAGTTACATAAAGAAAAAATGTTCCCAAGTAAACTAGTTCCAACTATTGGAAAAGATGAAGTCAACGCAAACACAGGAAATAAACATAAAAAATAACCTATTATCAAAGCTAATGTATAAGGAATTTGTGATATGTCGATAAATTCATTGTTCGGTAGAAAATTCAATGTGTAAATATCTTCAATATGATTAAATGCAATGATAGCTGTAGTAGATAATAAGAGGTTAAACGATAGAACTGTAATGAAGACAGGTATAAATATTCTACATAGTATTTTACTCTTATCTCTAACAGGAGTTACAATACCAGGTATAGAATGATGACACATAAATACGTACACACAAACTCCGAATAAACTTGGTATATTTTGAGGTTGAAAGGCTGGCGGTTTTGGAACTGGTTCAGATTTTATAAGTAATGAATAGATTGAAGGATTCCAATACATACTAACATTATGGTGAAACGTTGCAATTGTAAAGTTTTCGTGCAGAATAATAGCTCTTTCAATTGAAAAACTCAACATCAAAATAAAACCAATCCATCGTAGACAAACGGTCAGTAGTTGAAGCCATCGAGAACGAATTACATTGAAGAACAAGAATGGGCAAACACATGCACCAAAACAAACCTATGAGAAAAATAAGTACGACAAATTGGGGACAGTTGCCCTAACATTATGTAAACATGCTATAATATTTATCGTAGGATAACGTAACTTATCCAATAATTGTTTGGCTTGAAACTAAGATATATTCGGAACACTGTTTAACATGAATGCACCGTAATTCAGGAAACATTTGATGATTTATATGGTTGTGAAACAGCAATTCAAGGCGCAAGAGCCGTGCGAATTACAGGCATTTGACCATGCATATAATCGTAACAATGCCCTTACGCGTGAGGTAATTTCGGTTGGTGTGTAAACTCTTCGGCGGAGAAATCAGGTCTATAAATATAGTTGTAAAGATGTGCCAACTAAGATGGCTAGGAGACTCATAACAAGCGATTAAGTGACAGATAATTCCCATTTAAAAATAAAGTTCAGAGAAGGGATCTTTTTTCAACGAATTTATTATCAAAGCTGTACAATCGTATATACATATAGAAATTTTTTGGTAAAGTACTAGTTCCGTGAGGAAATGTGAACACAAATAACCAAGATGACGTAATAGAAAGATTATAATACTAGATTGCGTAATACGAATAATAACAATAGACTTAGTAAGTTAGTAACAAATTATAACGTGAATGTAGTAAGATAACTAAAATGTTTTTGTTACAATAATTAAAGGTCACAGAGGTGTAAATAAATAAATAAAGTGATATGATGGGTACTTATGAATAAAATAATGAGAATATGAGACATAAGTAAAGGGAAAATGCAGTAATAATAATAATTAAGGCCAAGGTAACGATAACGTGCTTCTGTTGTGCGCATAGTTCTGGCTTGAGCTCATGGATGATAAGACCTTCGGCTATTTCTAGGAGTTGGATACGAAGAAATCTAGGTAGATTTGAAAGAATCGTATATACAACCTTAAAATCAAATTGTGGATTCGTAAAATGATTACAGTCGATTAGGTGTTCATGTATAGACCATATTGACATCAGTCATCGTTGTCGCTCATTTTGAATTGAGTGACGAGAAAACCAAAAGTAGGAATAGCCAGTTGACCAACTTCTATAGCTGGGTTTCTTTGAGCAGAAAGAGAGATCTCATTCACTCGTTATGTCATCGAATACATTAGATATGTAATACGAAATGCATTGACGAGGAATTCGATTTTTCCAGGAAAACTCTAACGGAAAATGGCTGTCCAGACCGATTCGTAGATAAGAATATAAAAAAAATTCTGGTTGTTCCGTTCTAAAGAAAAACCTCTATACGAGTTTGGAAAGGTGATCGAACTTCTGATGTAATCAAAAATCGTTTAACGACAGTGATTAAAAGAACATTCAATGCGGCAAAATTGCGAAAAACTTTCAGTAGCAGGAACTTATTTCCTATATCCATAAAGGATAAGCTTCCTTCTCTGGTCACCTCATTGTGCATCTACTAGTTCATCTGCTCTTGTGGAGCAAGGTACATTAGCCGTAGCCAGCGATCGCTTTCAAGTCACATACGTGAACACTTCCCAGTTTGGTTCTACAAGAACGAGAGGCAAACAGTTAAGAGTTCTATACATGGACACCTAATCGACTGTAATCATTTTATAAATATAGCCTTTTGAACTTGAGCTAGAGTTGGTGGACTTACTTCAATGTTCCATTCAGGCTGTCTGGGGATGGAGGGTAGTTAAAGCCCAGCTGAACCGTTCTCTAAAATGTTCCGCCCATCGTTCTAAACGTCTGAACTGGGAGCAGATAAGTGTCATCTTTTCCCGAGATAGTCTTACTTACAATTGACTTATTAATTCCAGTTTCTTTCGTTAGTCTAGAGAGCTGTCTTGTGTTACCTACAGCCGCCGCCTTCTCCATCTGTTTTGCTTTCGTTGCCCACCACTGCTCACAGTCATTCCTTAAACTTTTGCTTACTCTAGATCGGATTTGTTTTCGCTCTTCATCGCGTTCAGAGCCTAATGGGAAGTTTACGAGAATCCATCAGTGCAATAAACTTAGGAGAAATTCATCGGTGTATTGTAATCCTATGGTTTAAATCACTAACAAATGTCACCACTGTTTCCACAGCTATTTGTATATCATCCCAAGCAACATATGGGTGAGGCTCATTTTCAGAACTACCTAAGTGTAACCTCAGTTGTTCCTGAAACCTACTTTTGGTTTTCTCGTCACTCAATTCAAAATGAGCGACAACGATGACTGATGTCAATATGGTCTATACATGAACACCTAATCGACTGTAATCATTTTACGAATCCACAATTTGATTTTAAGGTTGTATATACGATTCTTTCAAATCTACCTAGATTTCTTCGTATCCAACTCCTAGAAATAGCCGAAGGTCTTATCATCCATGAGCTCAAGCCAGAACTATGCGCACAACAGAAGCACGTTATCGTTACCTTGGCCTTAATTATTATTATTACTGCATTTTCCCTTTACTTATGTCTCATATTCTCATTATTTTATTCATAAGTACCCATCATATCACTTTATTTATTTTTTTACACCTCTGTGACCTTTAATTATTGTAACAAAAACATTTTAGTTATCTTACTACATTCACGTTATAATTTGTTACTAACTTATTAAGTCTATTGTTATTATTCGTATTACGCAATCTAGTATTATAATCTTTCTATTACGTCATCTTGGTTATTTGTGTTCACATTTCCTCACGGAACTAGTACTTTACCAAAAAATTTCTATATGTATATACGATTGTACAGCTTTGATAATAAATTCGTTGAAAAAAGATCCCTTCTCTGAACTTCGTGTTATTAATTAATTTAATATGTTAAACGTTCAGCTCAACATTCGACCACCCTGTTAAACAGACTAACGGTGATCAATCTATGACTATAAATGTATTGACCGTTGCTTTGAGTGGTGTAACACAAGATTTAAAATTTATTAGTAAACATTTTTGAGTGCTAGAAATCAGTAACTACAAATCACAAACAACATACATCAAATGACGCAACTGATTTCACTGTATCTTCTTTTGACTAGTTAATTATTTTCCTTTCCCCACTTATTTCTTGAGTAGCAACGCGATAAAAGTCATGCATTTCGATAATTAGCCTGCTGAGAAACATTTTTTAACACAGATTAAGGAATGTAGAAGGTATGACGATTAAATTGCAAATGTCAGCAACCGAGCGAACATAGGTTCTTCCAGAGGAAAACGGAAATAAAACAGATTAAGACTGAGTAAAAATAGGAATTTAACAGGACACATGATAGTTCATTAATCTGGTACACATTTATTCGCCAACGCTCTTTCAATGAAAACAAAAGTATATACGCTATGACCCGGTTAAATGAAGTAAAAAACAGATTGAAAGAATTGTTGCTGTTTACTAGGCTTACTTTTCACGAACATTTTACTATAAAAGCGAGAAAAGGAGCCATTTAAACCGTTAAACAACCAATTACCATTTAATGTTCATACAAGGAAGATACGTTCCAATATTTGTACTAACCTTATTTGGTTTTAAGATACTAATTATATGCCAAATACTAGAAGTAAACAAGTTAACGGAAATAGATATAAAAATAACTTTCTGGCCGAATATATGGGTGAGAAAACGAGATTGAATAATAACTATTTGTTAAATAAATTCACTACTGAAAAAGAAGCTAGACAACAGATACCCATTATTATGTTTTAAACTTACCAACCCTCCTCAATATTTTAGTTAACGATGTAAACGGATTCACAGATAAATTTCGTAACTTAGAAACGTATTCTTTTTCTGTAATACTATGTAAATGTTATGAGTAGTTATCTACTTAAAAAGATAGTTTTACTCTTTTACCAAATCCATTTGCTGCACGAAAAATAGAATTTCTATAATTACCCTGTTTTTCCTTAGGGTTGAGAACACCCAGCAATAACTGAATAACATAAAATGCGCAAACTATTTACAATAATCATGGTTTCAAATTGAACCTTTTCATTCATTACCCTTTTTTGATCATAACCTTTGATTCCTTATGAAGATTGCTTCACAAACTGACTATACAGCTAGTTTGAAACTGCTATCCATTTATTGTGCATAGACCTAAAGATGGTTCGTTTCAAAAAGTCAATAAATTTAATGAAACATTTTTCCAAGTAGTTTTCTGAAAACTTCAGTCAAGTTTCATCAAGTGATTATGACAGACTGGAGAACGATGGCGATCTTTCTTAAGACCGCAAGTGAGCCCTTTCGATAAGTCCCAAACCAACACAAAACAGTTGACCAATGGTCTTTGGTTTTTAATAATTCTGTCGTTTGATTTTAGATGACAAAAAATATTTTCAAAGGAATTCCTGTCCGGTGTATTGTTCAAATTAAGCTACAAAACTTTCTCTATACAATTCATATAACCAATCTGCTCTACTACATAGATAATTAAATTAATTATAGTAAAATAATTTAGTAAACTTGGCTACAGAGACGCTAATTCAGTTGGTGTCACCATCTTGAAACATCGACTTCGGTGGCTTTAACATGTCCTACGAATGTCATCCCAAAGGATTCCACAACGCGCATGATTTACCGAAGCTGGGACTGGTTGGATAAAGTGGAGTCGTGGTATGAAAGAAAGCTGTACAGGACTGATTTCTATTGGTCCTTCATGACTCTCTGGTTAGGGTCCCAGAGATGGCACAACACAATGGCTAGAGACCTTATCAGACATGATTTGGAATATAAATCAGTGGCGGTCCTGTTGTAACTTTCTTTTACTTTATTCAGAAAAGTGAACGTAACTTCTTTATCTGAAAGAATTCTTTCTGTTAATATTTTTGCTAACTTAATTGTTTTTTTTTTCATTATTATTATCTCACTCTCATATACTAATTTCTGTTCGATTTTTTTATCATTCGCACTTTACACTATCCATCTTTTCACAACTTCATTGTTATTGTGTGGCGCATACGTATCTGGTGCCCCCTTGTACCAATGTTTGTGTTAAAATAAATAAAAGTAGGACTTTACAAAATAATAATTTAGGCCAAAGAATAATTATTTTTCTAACACCACCTTCGTGTAATACACTTGTTTGATTGACAAATTTACCATAAAACCCTATGCAACTATGACGTAAAATGAGTAATGACGAAGAAAGTTAAGAGCATATGCTAGTAAATTGATATTTTTCAATAAGACATTGTAAACGATGTGATCGGGATTGCATTGATTATGATATGAACTGACATATCGTATAAAACCGATAACAATGAGTATTATATGACAAATATTACCGACCAAAATAAGAACTTACAACTAATATCCTATACACATCTAAGCGAGTGAGAGATGACGATCCCCAACAAAGATCTGAATCCGACAAAGAATCCTGTGAGTTATTAAAAGAACTAAAATATGTTAAAAAATGATTAGTCTCTTTCAAGGCAAAGAACAAACATTTTTTTATCACAAATAAATCAATTTATTGTTGCCATATACACATGCATCTATTTAGTATTTTTGAGCACACTCCGAAGTATTATTTTTCATATGAATGCCAGAGTTGAAATTTTTTATACCTGATTGGTATCAACAATTTAGCTGTTGACGATAGATAAATCCTGTAATTCTTAACCATTGAAAAGGTTAGGAATATTTGATAACACCATCTTTCGAGTAAAGGGTGTTGATAAAAAATGTGTATACAACGTTAATAGTGTGAGTCAGCCCATAATGTTGTCAACCTAAAATGAATAGGGTAGTGAGAATGCTAGACAATTTGATATAATCATGCTTTTGTGAAGGTCAGTTGCTAAAGTAACAGAAAGCTGAAAAGTAATGCTACCAAGAAACAGGTTGGTTGAAAGCTTATGTAAGGTGAATTTTAATGTAGGTTCACAAGCCGCAGGGGCACTCGTCAAGGATAATAATTGCTTTACAAAGAAAATAAAACTAAGGAAATGTCCAAGTAACTCAGAATAAACGATTTATTCGAAAACGCAAACTCTTATAAACTAGTTTCAGACAAAATTTGGCCAAGTGAAAAATACAAGAATAGGTAGCTAACTCAAAAATTATAAGAAAAAGATGCAGCAAATTTGAATGACTGTAAGGTGAATATTATAAAATTCTGACTAACCAGATAACATTGCGTAACGACTTTGGAACTGCTGAAGAGTAAATGGTCAGGTCACCATATAAATACGCACATATGTTGATGTACATCAAAACATTCCCCACTTTTCCAAAATAAAAGAGTGACATTTGACCCTGAAAAGAAGTATTACAAGAAGAGAAAACCCTAACAAGCTCGTATTTCTCCGTAATTTCGAAGTCACTTGGGACAATTCTCGTTGTACCTTTTGAAAAGAACATATAAAAGAGCTGATGACGTACCACCAGACATTCTATCAACCAGACTTTTATTATCTCCATGCTCTTCACCCTCCTAAAGTAAAGTAAGCTTTTAAACGCGATAAAAACTTGCGAACACGTAGATATTTAGATTTGCGTAATGCATTGGTTATAGATAACGCTTCAATGACAAATGTGAAAGTTAAAAAGCTGAGAGAATAGAAAGTATGCAACTTACCTCAAAAAGCACAGAATAACTACAACACATACAGAGATCAACCATCCTGCTTCCTGAAACGCGGCTGGAAGTGTCAAAACGCCAGTGCCCACAATTATGTTAAAGAGAAAAATAAATCCAGTCTACAAATAATTTCACTCGACTGAAAGCTAACCAAAGAAGAGTATCCACTTCCTACCGAGATCGGTACATTTGACATCGTTAGGTGGAACTCGATCAGATGGCTTGATTTGCGTTAGAGTGTATAATTAAGTGAGTACAGACTCTTCGCCTAATGAGCGCCCGTCGAATCGCGGTTACCAAACTCAAAGTGCAGATGCAGACAATCGATTATTCAGTAGTTCGTAAATCACAAGCTGCTTCTATCTGATTGTTACGAGGTACGACCTTGAACGTTTGAAAATTTGCGTCGTCGAGTTCTGGCTAATATAAAATATCTCCATGGTAAAACAATAACCTTTGAGATTATATTGACATATTACAAAAATAAGGATATGCACGTGACCGACAATTTCAAAAGGCGTTTCTAGGTCATTTTAAGTTTCTGATTCCAGACGAGGACAGTTCAAAACAGTGAAGAAGACTGTAATAAACTAAACTTCAGTTCGTAATTTCGATCGTCTACTTAGCGACTAATCAGAATGAAGCTAGAGTTATTACTTTTCCCACCGTTGTAAGCAATAGCGGTCGGCCTACTTTCTTCTGTGTTTTTTCTCTGGTTTTGGTGTTTATGCAAAATGAAATCATTTCGAGAGCTGAAATTCCGCAAATCATTCGATACTCTAAATTTTATTTCAGGTTACAACTATGAAAGCTAAAGGGCGATATTACCATAAATACGTCTGTCATCAATCTTCACCTAACTTGCGGTTTCTGAGGATGACAAGCATATGAATAAATTTCTATCGTCTCAATTCATACTTCTTGTTTTCTTCTGTTATTCACTTATTTCAAAGCATTTGAGTGGTTTCTTTACGTCATGGTGTTTTGTCCGAACACGATGGACCAGACGAATGAATGGTTACGTAACACTACTCGAATCACTTTAGGACAGTCTTATTATGTACATGTGGCGGTAAATAGATCTCCGAAATAAATAGTTCTGGAAGTCTTCGACATTAATGCTGACCATATTAGTTTAACTGTACACACCTAGCTTGGGATTCTCTTGGTCATGAATTCGCACCAGATGATAAGTTGGTACACCGCGCGACGCATCTCTTTCCCTTGTTAGCCAGCTTAGACAAGACGCTTCTTGATATATCGATAACCTTCCAAATATACCCACGAACTACTCCATCTTTGATTTTTCATTTGACTGGGTTAGCATACTTCGGTTATAAAGGTGTTGCGTACAGAGAGGTCAAACTCCGATTACTTATGGCATTTAGAAAACCTGATGAGATCACTCAAAATATTTCAACTAAGTTTTATGTACTGCTACAGCCATTCAACACCTATTACTTCCCTCTGCCTTTTGTTCTCATTTAAATCAAATATCTTTTTCATGGGCTTGTCCAAGCCGATTGGCTTGTTTGAAATCATTTCTCGTTATTTCAGTGCAGTTCCTTGCATTCAGTTATGCCCACAGGCCCTTTTACAGCACTAGTTCTAGTCAGTCTGGTAGTTATTCGTGAATCTTTATATCTTGTAGTTAGGTGAATTTATTTGTCTTAGGTCACCAGGGTTTCTGGATACCAACAGGTATCACATCATCAGGCAGGATGTTGATGGTTTGGAATGTAAAAATAATGAAATGACAATTTGAGCGCTAAGAGAAGACGATTGACTAATTAATAAATACAAGAGTTAGTTAGTAATGTGTAAGATGACGGAATAGAGAGAATAAGAGGGGAAAAGGGTTGATAATAAGAGAGATAAGAAGTGCTTACCTACATGTGGTAATGACAGCCTTGGTAATTTATGAAACATGCATTGGACACAGCTGCTCCAAGGGGGAGATAATGATCTATGAGTGAATATATGCTGGTAAAGTCCCCTATCAAAGCTATCCACTTTGTATAGGTAAATAGATCCCCAAAATAAATAGTTCTGGAAGTTTTCCACCTTAATGTAGACACCTATTTACATATATTAGATTATCAATAATTGGTTTTCCTTACGAATAATTGTAGCTTCATCCATCATGATAAATTTGGTAACATTGAGCAAATCACTGCATTGATCGCCCAACAATGTAGTAAATTTCCTTTTATCAGCAAACGAAAAATGTAATGTTTTACAAATGAAAACAAGGGTAAATATCTCAACAAGTGTAGCGTTTTGGTTTCAAAGTGTAGTCTCAAAGTGAAGTACCTATGACTCTGAGGGATAAGGTTTCTTTTCAGTGCCCAATCGCCATTATATTATAATTATAATCATCAGCTTTATTCAATATTATATTTTTGGTAAAATATAGAATTTTCAGCGTAAAGTATTTCAACAAGTTTCCGTTTCTTTCTTCTTGGTCGGTCCTGGCGATAAATATTGAGTGATCGCCAGTTAGATGTTAGCAGTTCAGTAAATGAACATCTGAATAATGTGCATTCTTTTCGCTGTATATTGCCAGCAACCACATTGTCTCTTATTGAGTTTTTTGTAACTTTGACAACGAAAGGTTTTACACTTTTCAGAAACACAGCAGAATAGGTTATGCGATTAATAAACATAATGATATATTAAAACAAACAAAAATAGATAACTTCTTGAGATATCTAGATGGTAGGAACAGGTAGCCCAGATGCTCAAGCAGGCCGCCCTTTAAAGATTTCCTAGAAAATTCCTGTGCCGACCTGGTGTTAAAACTAATTTATAAAGTTGATCTAAACAACCGGTTATTTTGAACACGATTTTTAGGCGTTTGTATGTCGAATTTCTATATCCTAGTGACAACATTTTTCGCTTATGAGACTTGTAACAGAAAGAATAAGTTAAAAATCTTTCATGAGTGTTTTATTGGATAGTATTTCCATTTCTTTGTTCATTCATTCTTTCACTTATCTCGTGTCTTTTGTAGTCATTTCCCATTTTACTCACCATTCTTTTTCTGGGCCATTATTATTTGAGTGTGTTTAAGATTTACAAATATCATTTAATTTTGCCACTGAATGTTACCGAGCCATTGATGATAAGGTCGTTTTAGACCTAGCACAAAGTTAAGACGTGTATTGATGAATAATTGTTGACTTTAGGTTGCTTGCTAGAAGTGGCTGCTCAAACTCTTCCAGTTGGACATTTGGTCTCATCTTATTGGAGACACTTGATAATTGTCAGGTACCAAACGCTGATTAAGTAGTCATTTTTCAAGTTCGTTATTATGCGCATACTGTAACGTTTGAATTATTTTGTACTTTCGATTTGATTGATTTTCTATCCGAAACTATGATCATGACGTCCGTTTAATCCTGTGTTTTATTTAGGCTACTACTTCTATGTTCTTGTTGAAATATTAGTACACTCCTTTTCAGATGTGTTTTATTACGTCAAAAACGAATTTTTCTTCCGTCGACACTTTTGGCAGCGAATGAGAACAACACTTAAAAAGGGGGAAGCAGTTTGACATTAGCAACACGGTGAGGTAGAAACGACCTTTAATTTGAAATTACTGGTTGATTGACTAGTTGTTTCAACACATCTGTTTGGGCAGTTGAAGTTTTTTTGTTAGCTAAATGAGTTAATATACGTGCATCTATTTGGGGCATTTACTCTATTAGCAATCCCAGCCAACTTATCGAGTTACTGACTTTATAACTTTTCACCATTCCCTTATAAATATTTTTTGTTACACCTGACATCAATTCATTATGAAAACCTTAGCTCTAGTTTATAAACCTAACACGCTCTATGGCTGAAATCCATTAATGTTAACATAAACGAATTTCCTCAAAATTTTGGAAATTCCGGAAACCCGATCCCCCGATTTTTGTCAAACTTTTATCACCTTTGGGGAAATCAGAGTAAAAGATTCTGGGGAAATATGACAGAAACCCTAACTCCCCCACCAGAATTCTTCCTAAATCTAGAGATTAGGGATATAGTGAAGAACATCCCTTAAATACTAGAAACCATAGGTTCATTCCAGAAAACAAGTGAGTTTCCCGAACACTGCTAGTCGAGTCAGAGCTTATGGCGAACTGTCATCTACTTTTGCAACCTCAAGTGGTGTCCGTCAAGGCTGTCCACTTTCCCCAGTTTTGTTTAACTTCATCACAGATCTACTGATGGAAATAACACTCTCGTCGACTGAATTCTCGGGTATTGATCTCCATCCAGGAGGTCCACTTATCGACTTCGAATACGCAGATGATGTAGTCCTGTTTGGTGAAAACGCTGACAAAATGCAGAGTCTTTTAGTAGCACTAAGCAACAATGCCAGAATGTTTGGATGCGTTTCTCTCCTCTAAATGCAAGTTGTTGCTTCAGGACTGGTCCGCATCAACACCTGAACTAAGGGTAGTGAGTGAAATTGTCGAACGCGTTGACCATGTCACTTATCTTAGAAGTCTGATCAGCTCTAATAGGTTGGTACATATATATGCCTGGTCCTACGTTGTAGAAAACTGACTGATGTGTAAGTGTTCGTTTGATATCCCATTGTTACTGAAATGATTCCCGAGCAAATTTGTAAATCCGATGCTGTTCTGATTTATGAAGTTAACGATCGTAAAAAGTTCGTGAAATGAAAGCATCTTAATATCTACCACTCATGTAATAAGTAACAAATGAGAGATATAGAGTACACGTTTTTGTTGTTTATGTGAAGAACTCACCAACTCAAATCCATGATCGTTGCTCTCCTAGCCTTCTTACAAACTATTCCAACCCTCATGGAGCGTTACGATAGTCGGTGTATGGACACGCGTAACGCACATCGTAATCGTCTCCGTGCCTGATCTCCGATGCACGATGTTTATGGCTGCAAAACAAGCTTGATTCCAATGACTCGCGTTTACGTCCTTGTCTTTGCCACATGTTTGTCTTTCGCATACATTTGCATAAACAATCTTTCTTGCAAAACTACTGCTTTCATTGTCTACGCCAACTTTCAATGTGGTTATTTGTACGATTACCTAGAGTGAAAATTTCACCTTTTAAAGCTGCAGCTCAAATACGTTACTGCTCCACCCAGTTTACGTTTAAATACATTACGTCTGCTATGCACATCACGTATGCGTCAAATCTGATGAGACTTAGCCAGTGATTTTTGATGAACAAGCTGTCATAAATACTGCCCTAATATTGGATGACGATTCTTTTTATACATAGCTCTACACATGTGAAATGAACACAAAACTTTGTGGGCTGTACTATGAGGTGTTTCCACAGCAGGTATAACAGATCTTACACAATTCTGTCAAAGTTCCTGTAATACTGGCGTTCGTTGTGATGATTTTGTAATGATCCATAAT